GGGGGGGGGGGAGAGAGAGAGAGAGAGAGGGAGAGAGAGAGGGAGAGAGAGAAGGAGAGAACGAGAACTCTAAGCAGGCTCCATACTGTCAGCATAGAGCCTGACGTGGAGCTCTATCCCATGAACCGTGAGATCATGACCTCAGCTGAGATCAAGAGTTGGATGCTTAACCAGCTGAGCTTTTTACTCATTACTTTTTCATGTTTTCCTGTATCCAGTTTTAAGAGTCACATTAAGTTAACCAAGGCTGTCTTAAAAACAGAATAGGACTGTTTGGGTGAAACTCCTCCTCCTTTAGAAGCAATAAGCTGCCCTTTCCTGCTTGTCTGATCTCTCACTGTGGAGTTGTTTCTTTAGGAGACCTTTCTTTGCTAACAAGGCAACGTTCTAAATGGCCACAGCAACCTGTAGGGAAAGAAATTCTTATTTCTTGGACATCTCAGTGTCTTTCATAGCCATTTATATGTAAATGGAAATAGATGAGTTCTCCCTACGTATTTTAGAGTTTAAATAAGGGGAAAGAAGAGAGAACTCCAAATACACATGGCGTGAGCACACCAAGATGAAGCATGTGCTCAAGTCTCAAAAGAAATTGGACACCAGATCCAGTGTCCAGCATTGACAAGATTCTCAGTAAACATTCATTGAATAAATGTAGCAAAACACACACCCTGAATAGGGTCATTTTTTTAATTTAAGGGATTTTCATAGTAATTTGGGTTCCTGAAGGATATGTTGGTGTGTTTGTAGGCAGATAGATGCTTAGGTCCTGCTAGCCTAGTTGTATGTTGGGAGCATTAGAAGGGACTACAAGTGGCTTGAAGGAAGACAGAGGGGACATTTGGAAACTTCCATGGAGAGAGGTGGGACTTAGAATACTTGAACTTGCATGAGAAAGTTGCTATACTGAGGTCCCTAATTGAATCATAATTGGTTTTATTCCATTTACCAGATCACAAAGTAGGGTGTTGTTAGAATTTTAAATTCCAAATTTTAAAATTTAGAAGACACTTCCCACATTTCTTGACTTTCTGTGTCCTGGTCCATGGGCATGTTGTTACAGGGCAACCAGAGTATCACTTAACTAGGTTTACTTTTGAATACGAAAAGTAAAACTTTGAAATACTTTGTTTTCATTCTTGACATCTCAGTTCCTTATTTTATATAGTACTCTTCACTTCCGTTTTCTCATGTAATTCTGAATGCCTACCTAGATTCCCAACATAAAAAAATCACATTTAATGATTTGTAGCTTTTCTACTCTGATATTGTTTATTTTCATTAAAGTCATACATTTGGGCGCCCTCTTCTATTTGATGACCTTTCTGGGTACTTTTTAATCATTTCTTCTACTAAAGTTCTGGCTGGGTGCATCTAGAATCATTTAAGCTATTTTCTTTCTAAGTGCTAGTGATGGAGGCAGAATGTAGTTGTTTGTTTTTGTTTTTTGTTTTTTTTTTTTTAATTTTTTTTTTCAACGTTTTTTATTTATTTTTTTGGGACAGAGAGAGACAGAGCATGAACAGGGGAGGGGCAGAGAGAGAGGGAGACACAGAATCGGAAACAGGCTCCAGGCTCCGACCCATCAGCCCAGAGCCTGACGCAGGGCTCGAACTCACAGACCGCGAGATCGTGACCTGGCTGAAGTCGGACACTTAACCGACTGCGCCACCCAGGCGCCCCCAGAATGTAGTTTTAAATTGAAGCTCTTCTGTCTTTTTTTGCTCTCAGGTTATAACCTCCTGTAAACTAGGTGAACCTCACTAATGAGATGTCTTTGTCCTCATAGGTGATTGAAGTGGGAAAAAATGATGACCTTGAGGACTCCAAGTCCATAAGTGACGACACTGATGTAGAAGTTACCTCTGAGGTAGGGGTATCTAGTAAAAGAGCTGTTTTGCACCCCCCGCGTCTCCCAGTGTGTACGTTCCAGCACTGCACTTGTGTTGAAGAAGGCCATTTCCCCCATTTCTATCTCCCTTTCCTTGACGTTAAGACATGTTGGCTTCTTTATATTTTGTTACAGGTTTTTATTGGAATTTAGAGAAAGGGTGACTTAAGTGCCTGTCTGTATGCCTTTCTCCCCGCTGACGAAATTCTTTGGACCTGATGCAGTGGACACACAGAGTTATTCAGAATAGTCCTGCACTGCTTTGCCCACTAGCCACCCCTCTGTAATCGTAAAGGTAGACTTATAAGCTATCTAAAATTCTTTGTCAAGTACAAAGATCATATTTTCAGTGCTTTGTTAGAAATCGACAAATGGAAAATGGCTTAATTTCCACACAGGTTTATATTAACGGAGGGCTAGTAAATGAAAATGTAGTATTAAGCTGGAAAGGTAATAGGTATGGATTTGTCACCAAATGACAACTCAGGTTTAGACTCAGATGTATACCTTTTCTCTTTTCATGCTGGTTCCCCATTTTCCTTTTAGTGCTTCCCTTGGCTAACCCGCCGTGGGAAGAAGGGTGGTGGGGGAAGGACAGGGGAGGAGAGTTTACAGTTTGCTGCTTGGGGATAGAAAAGTGGTATGTTGTCTTTGGTTGATCCTCCCCAGCTCCTGGCCTGCCACTGTTGCCCATTATGGTAATTGACTGCAAATTATCTGTCTGTGTATAGCTAAGTAATAAAGTAGAATATATTGGTCCGTTAAGGGTTCTTGACCATAATACAAATAGCAGAGATAAGTGTTTCCATCTTCATCAGACTTCTTTGGCTACTTGGGCCCAGAAAATCTATTAAGCAAATAGACTGTATTTTATCAAATCAAAGATGCCATTGAATTTAATAAGCCCTATTATTTTATGTACTACTAAAAAAGAAAAAGTGATGCCAGTTAGACTGTGACACACCATCAGTTATGAATTCCAAATCTTTACGAAGCTCCTTTGAGTATCTGGATAGATTTCAGGTGAGGTGTGAGGATCTTAAGCCGGCAAGAGTGTTGTGAGGATCCCTGAAGACCACCCAGTTTAACAGATGGTCGCGTCCCTGCCTCTTGGCCCATGATATTGAGTTACGACTTCTAAACTTGAAGTGTGTGGCCTTTGTTCTGAAAGTAATCAAGTCTGCCTGTGTCCAGTCATTGATCCTGTCAGAGCCAGGCAATTAGCCACATTAAATACCCTTGACTTGTTCCAGGTAGTTACCTTTGCATTAAGCAAGGCATTTAAAATTCATTGAGCTCCAGTATCTCCTAATTTGGTATCTACTAATTTGGGTATGGAGGAGTAGGAAAAAAGTTACGGGCATCCAAGGACAAGAACGTTCATTTTTCAGAGGGTATGGTTTAGGCGTATAGTTAGCTAGTGAGAGACCATGAGTAAATTTAGTAGTTTTCAAATCTCATTTTAATTTTAGCTTCCTTTTTTGCCAAATTTTATATTTCTTAATTAGTGGGAAAGAATGAAAGTGTTCTCTTTGCTTCATTCTTTAGCTTCTTGCTCAGTAAGAGAGTTAAATTGTACAAAGAAATGAACTAAAAAGAAGGCAGCAGGGAAAAGCCAGCAATCAAAATTCCATCCAGATGAGATAGAATGCCAAAATAATGAATTTAACTTTCTTAAAGATAGCTATATAAATCTTGACTTGAAAATGGCGGTTGTGTCACTATCATTGTAAAACTTGTCAAGACTTTCTTCCACGTGGCTGTGGAATTTGCTCATATGTGAGGCTAGACCACCGATGGGGAATGTCCGGACTCTCACTAGCTTAGTGAGATGATGAGCCAAGGCCTACCCTCCCTTTTCCTCAACTTCATGTTTGCCACGGAGTGAGTGTTAATTGGCTGCACTTGTCTTTGTAGGATGAGTGGCAGTGTACTGAGTGCAAGAAATTTAACTCTCCAAGCAAGAGGTACTGTTTCCGTTGCTGGGCCTTGAGGAAGGATTGGTATTCAGATTGTTCTAAGTTAACCCATTCTCTCTCCACGTCTGATATCACTGCCATACCTGAAAAGAAGGAAAATGAAGGAATTGATGTCCCTGATTGCCGAAGAACCATATCAGCTCCAGTTGTTAGACCTAAAGATGTGTATACAAAGGAAGAAAACCCTAAACTTTTTGATCCCTGCAACTCAGTAGAATTCTTGGATTTGGCCCACAGTTCGGAAAGCCAAGAAACCATATCAAGCACGGGAGAACAATCAGATAACCTTTTTGAACAGAGAACAGATACAGAAAACATGGAAGATTGCCAGAATCTCTTGAAGCCGTGTAGTCTGTGTGAGAAAAGACCACGAGATGGAAACATTATTCATGGGAGGACGGGCCATCTTGTCACTTGTTTTCACTGTGCCAGAAGATTAAAGAAGGCTGGGGCTTCATGCCCTATTTGCAAGAAAGAGATTCAGTTGGTTATTAAGGTTTTTATAGCATAGCTAACTCAGTGAATTGCAGAAAATATTAACAGGGCTAGGTCATGTTTCAAAATGTCAGTATTGAGCATCTCTACTCAGTGTAGCCCATTACATCTGTTTATTTATTTGGGTAAACATCTGTGTTCCCCAACATTTTTGCTTCTAAACTTATATGGAATTTGAGAATGAGTTCTTTAGAACTAGGTTGCCAATTTGGGGGACGCTGTTAACATGAAAAGATACGTTAACCACTTCATTCTCTCCTCAAAGATGAGGATCTGGGAGAAAGCAACTGCCAGTACTAACAAAAATACATTAATTCGCTCACTTACCAAATTATTTGAAGATTTACTATTTCTTTAGTTAATTGTATTCCCCATTCTTTTTTTCTGTTAGGGAATGTTATTAGGCATTAGGATCCAAGGTGGCTATTAGAAAAATACTAAAGCTAACAAAAGAGATAATAATAAATTTGATTAGTCAAGGTATGTAATGCTATATAGATTGTTGCAGTCAGGCTGCACGATTCAGATGAGCTAAAAGAAAAGTCTTGATAAAGAAGCGCTTTCTTCCATGTGTGCCTAGAACAATGGTATGGAGCATTTTTGCTAACATACTCCTAAAAGGGTTTTGAAAAAGTATATGTAACCTTTTGCACATTTTACACCATGAGGTATATAATTAACAGACAAAGTTTCCTTTCTGGTGAGTTGTAGACCTCTGAGTAGCCAGCCTAAAACAAGCAATGGAACATTTCTGTCTCCTTAGAATGTTTCCCTTGTTCCTCTTTCCAAGCAGCTCCCCCTCCATTTCGTGGCTCTCATTCTAGATTAGCTGTCCTTTTGCACATGTTTAGTGTGACATCTAAATTTTAAAAATACCTTTAAATACTTAGAAAGGGTACCCTATCCAATATATTGTATATGTGCCTTAAAAATATTTTTCTCAAAGCCTTGGAGCTGTAGGTTTCGTTGATTAAAGTTATAGAAAAAATCCTGTCATATAAAGTAGCAAAGCTGTTCTCATTTTAAAATTCATCAGCCAAATCAGATTTCACTTTCACTCAGAAAATGTTTGACTTTATTTTTAAAAATAAATGCATTAACACATTTCTGGCACAACCGTCTCAATTACAGTTCTAAGGTAGGTAAGGCATAGAATTTTTAACCTAAGCTCCCTTTGCTTTACTCTGTCCTCATTATCTTCTGAGAATCCTCTGGAGGTTTTTTGTTGTTCTTTTATTTGATGCCTCTAGAGGTTTTTTACATTCTGAGGCAATGCCCCATAGTAAGATTCTAGATGGGTGAGAGGCAGCCTTTCCTTTGGAAATAGGGAGTTATGGCAGTTGTGAAAAGGATATTAAGAAAAATGGTAGATCTGAAGAAGCCTTATCTGAGCACATTAATCTTAGGACAGTACAAATGGAAGTTGAAGACCTTTAAGCTGATGTCTCTATACCTATCCCTGCCTGCTTTCTCCATGGAAAAATCTTGAAGTATGCCCAGGGGTATGCATATGAGATTTTGGGGACGAGGGCCCTAGAATTAACAAATTTACTGATCCAAAAAATTACCTGGGTTGCTTGTTAAAACAGCCCAAGTTTAAAAAAAAAAAAAAAAAAAAAAAAAAAAAAAAAAAAAAGCCAAACTCAAACCCCCCTCCCGCCACTTTGCCCTGGAGTTTCCATTTGAACATGTGTTCCTGGAAGCTGATTCAAGTGGTCCACAGACCACACTTTGGGAAGCCCTGCCCTAGAAGGAAGGGTTTTCCCAGTTACGAGAAGTAGAATGAACAAGATCATTTTTAGCAGCATATTTAATTTTCTGAGGGGGAGTTTTGTTAAAAGTTCTAGAATTTTAAAACTAGAATGCACTCATATACTCAAGCCACTGTTATTTTGCACTTGAGGCTAAATTTAAGGGTAAATGACTGTCAAAAGTCACAGCTAGTGATGCAGCTATTACTAGAATCTAGGTGACTTGTAGTAAATCTCTAAACCATGCTCGCTCCCTTGTCATTGTTTGTTAAATATATAAAGCGGGATGCTTCTCGAATTTGTGGTAGCTCATCATCCTAAAATACTGCAGAATGTGACTTGCAGCCAAACTAGGACTTTAGAGAGAGTAATAACTTTTAACACTTTCTGCCCAAAGAAAAAGGCCCTATAAATATCAGGCTTTCTTATATAATCAGATGTCCTCCCACAGGGAGGACAGATAAAGGTGCAGAGGAGCCTGATCCATTGTCTCCAGTATTGTTCCTTCTTGGGGAAGGAAGTTAAGTTCCTGGCTCTCTCTAGGCATCAGGGACAAGGGTTTGTTTTCCTTCTAGAAGTAGAACGAGTCCTTTGAGTTTAGTGTTTTGTTAAACCATGGTAAATGCTCCACCACTCCTGCAATTTAAATGACTTTTTCCCCTATTTTCTCTCAAGTACTACTCTCTTCATAATAGTTTGATAGCCCTCAATTTTGTTTGATTTTTGCCAGTTCGGCGCTTTTGCAAATGGTGACTTAAAGGAGGGACAGGGAGAGTTGGGGATCTGCACTTGTACCCTCTGATTCCTCTTATGAAAAGTCGCAGGTTTTTTTAGAAAATTAAAAAATTGGAAAATTTTGTGTTTGTAGATATTTGATGCCAGTTTTGGTACATCCTTGCCTAGCACAGGATCCTCTTTTGCTACTCAACTTTCCTTCTCCCCCTTGCTCACCTGGGTTTTATACTGTCCCCGTTACCACGAAATACTTTGCTTAGAACATCCCAAGCTGTATGTTTGAGCTGTGAGTGGTATAATAACCTAGACTCGGGTTTCCTGGATCTCTGATGAGAGCCGAGAGCCGTGGGACTGACTGCAGCTGTTACAGAGAAACGAGTGATAGTATCTGCAGGAGGAGGCAGCTGGTATTTCTTGGTAGCTTATCTGAAATCCGGGATGCCGCTTCCCCTGCAGATTGTTTCCTTCATCCCAGATCCCTATCCTGTGTAATCACCTCTGGGAGTGGAGGATAGCAAGTAGGACTTGTCATTCCTTGGGGTAGAATGGGTGAAGAGTCCTACAAAGGGCCACATCACGCTATCAGAGCAGTTCGTTACCTGCATCTTGATTTGTTTTTGGTTTTGTTCTTTTTTTTTTCATGCTACTGCGGTACAGGTATATTTTACTCACTGCCGGTAAAGCAAGACATAGTTTGTACGTGAAGTCTTCATAGTTTTACTTCTGCCAGGTAAATTCCTAATTTCCAAACACTACTATTTATCTTTTAGTTGTATTTAGGGTGGACAGTGTGCTCTGGTGTTCTGGAAACAGTGCCAGTTTACCGCTCTTTTTTTAGCAGCCTGTCTGATTTATCTCCTTTTCTCCCTTTTCACTCCCAGATGCTTGAGTGGAAATCTTGATTGTGAGGAGGGATCTCTTAAAGTGGGTGCCAGTGGAGTTTAACTTTTCTGCATCATGCCATAGATTTGTGATCAATGAAATCATACTATATTAGCACCAAATTTCTTTTTCCCTCTTTCTTTCTCTTTCTTTCTTTCTTTCTTTCTTTCTTTC